ACATTTTCTGCACTGACCATTTTATAACTTAGTTACAGTGTTCACGGTCCTAGGTATACCATTTAAAATGAACTAATTTGCATTCCACTTATCTTGAGGTCAGCTGTGTATAAGGGAGGGACATTTTTGCAAGGGTCTCTGCAGATTGTTGGCTGGAAATCTATAGTGGCTTATTTAAAAAATAAAATTCTAATCTTAATCTAAAAAAATGCCACTGGCTAGCAATAAAAAAAATTTAGTGTTGCGTTTGGGAAGCAATTTCAAAACTGTAACTTTCCAAAGGAATATGCTACATCACCTTCATAATCCAAATTAAGCTACACATTTACCAATTATTACTTGATACCTCTTAAAATACAGGTCTTCAAAACTCTTTAAAAAAAAAAAAAAATCAAATATCCCTGTGAAGAACATGCTGAATTTACAATCCAGATCCCAACCCTGCGATGTGATGAGTGTGAATGAAATCCCATTGAATTTGCATGAGAACTTGGGGTCTCCTTGCAAAAAGAAAATCAGACTGCAATTCAGATCTCAGCCATCCACTGCCATGACGAGTCTACCTTTGTGCTCTTTTCAATATCCTATTTTAAGCACACAGCAATTGTTTTTAATAGCACCAATAATTTCAGATAACTGTGTCATGCAAATTCAGACAGCATGCAGCAGGTTTGTTTCTTCCTGAATCAGCACAATTGTTACAAGGCACTGCTTGGTATACAAAGTCATCATAAACAAAAAACCAAAAGATTTCCAAATTCGAGTAGACAGTTATGTCTCAGTATGTTCAGTCAATTCATCATTACCTAAGCATGGTTAGAAAAACTTAATCATTTGCTGGAATTAACCAAAAGATTTATCATGCACATTTTAATCCCACCTTCCAAAAAAATCCCAACCACACAGAAATGGTAAGGTATCACTATCAAAATAAGGATGCATGTTAAATAAGAGATATGCTTAATTTTCCAATCTTCCACAAAAGTCTAATCTAGACATAACTCAAGTATAAGATGGAAAAAATCTGATACATTTGCAACAGTCTATCCCTGCAGAATAGTGAAAAATTTATTGTCTAGAAAATTCATGTATTGGAGGCACACTGTAGTTGAAGATACTCAGGCAAATTTTATGGCTAGAACAGAATTTTGAGAGAACTCCGACTATACATTTCCTGAAAAGCAGCTCTTTATGGTTTAAAACACCAATTGTAACATAATGGAAAACCTTTTTTGGTCCTTAATCACTGCTGTCATCATCGTCATCATCATCATCAGATACATCATTTAAAGAGGATTTAGGTGACTGGCTGTAGGAGTCTGATCTAGTGGGCTGACAAGTAGTCATTTCCCCACTGGAAAGAAGATCATAGCAGAAGTCGCAAATTCGCACAGGCTTGGAGGACTGGCTTGGAAGAAGAAACCTCTTTTCAGAACAGGGCCCACAAACAACAAAACCACATTTGCGACAGTGATGACGACGGTTTACAGGTGTAAATTTTGCTTTCTGACAACGCATACACACTGTGGCCTCTGAGTCAGGTACCCAGACAGCTGCATGTTCATTACTGGGAGTCTTTCCACTTTTGGAAAGCAAATCAGACACACACTTATTGATGTGGTTCATCCATTCGGACTTCTCTGTTGCAGTGGCAGCATAAACAGCAAAAGACTTAGTTGGTGTCTTGATAAGCCACCCATTGCGTAGGTCCCCCTCATCTTGGATGGAATCAATAGTGACATTTTCCAATGGTATTATGTGTTGTTTGTTGTATTTTTTCTTCTGGATGACAATGTTCCCATACACAAGAATATCATTGAATAAGAAAAACTGTCTTGCTTTGGGTTTTTTCCTGCACAGCTTTGTTAACACACCTTCTCCAATCAGAACACGACCAGGAATAGTCAAAGGTTGACCAGCTGCTCCAAAACAATTTTCTACTATGCTTATTCGTCTGGTATTTGCTTCACTGTTTGCCAAGCGATCCACCATCTTTTATAAGTACCCTAAGATAATACAATAAAAAAAAATATATATATATAAGACAGATATAATCACATTTTACAAACAACATAAAATTACTTTAAATTGTTCAGGGGAATGGCAGTGGAAAACACTTTGTTTCAAATGCAGCCAAGTTCACTAAGAGATCAGTTTTCAACTACTGATGACTCTGGTGGCATAGTTGAAAAGACAAGGATCCACTTAGTTCCCACTGGACATGTAACTACATTACAAATCCCCACCATGAACAATACTAATAGTACCCTTGCTGTTAAATCATCCAATGACAGGTCAAGAGACTAATTTACCATCCATGTTCCTTGACCAGTGATCTCAAGATTTTCCAAGTTACATACCCTATATTAAAATAAGTTTGATATGCTGCTATGTACATGTATGATTCAGTGTTATAAATAATAAAAAATAAAGTTGATCACTGCAACCATACTACCAAACCTCTGCAACAAGAAATACCATTGAGTTATTTTTGTTCATTTTTCTCCATATATATTTTCACTTTCCCTTCTGCCTTCCCTTTTTCCCCTCTCTTCTTATGTTCTAGAGTATTAGTATAGCTGGCACTGTCCTATTTATAGTATATAACTGTATATAGTACCTTAAACTAGGCATAGCATTGCTAAATTGTATTGTTCATAGTCAGCTCCAGACTGAAAACTCCATTTGCTCACTTATAAGTGGCAACTCGGAAGTTTTCCTTGGTAAGAATAGGGCTCTATGTTATCAATTTCTAAAAAACATTATGCTCCTGATATGTTTCTAGATGATTAAGGTTGCAAAGACAGTATTTCAAATATAAACAGAAAGGGCAGTACAATACAGGTGTTCTCATATTTCAGGAGAAAACTCTTCAACATATCTTTTGTTCAGAGCCTTGGTGGTACACAATAAAAAACTTGAGACTAATCAGTTTTATACCTGTCATTCACAACTTTAAGGACTTTTGGGAATCATCTCATTTCAATACTGAGAATGCTATGAGCAGAAGCAGGTACTGGAAATCAGAGAGAAAGAAGAATTTATATACTTCCAAACAAGCTGAAAATGGAGACTTCTTACCACAAATCCTCAAAGTGGCCAAGAGAAAGCAACGCAAGAGGATTTTTTGTATGTTAGAGATCAACACAAAAGATGGAGCCCAATTCCTGGCACAGGATCAAAGAACCATGTGGTAGCAGAAATCTTAGCCTCTGCAAGATTAGCTTTTGACCAGATTACCACCCATGGTGATCATTAGTAGGATTCATTCAACTTTGTACCTCCTGGTCCAATCTTCAATCAGACAGCAGATTCTTCCAACTGGTATAACATGGGAGGGTATTACAGATTTAGAAGTCAGGAAGTACTCTGAGCCCTGATACTGTTTAATAGGTCTAATTAGAATTGGCTTTAGGTACAGAATTCTGAACCACTATAATATATCATTATAGGCTTACCCTAGTGCAGTAATGTTGCTCTTTAACAGAATATCATAAATAATCCCTTCAGCAGAAACACGCTGGAGTATTTTGTAATGAGATTTAAAAATAAAAACAGATTTCTGAACCTGAATGGATCCTACTTGGATAATGTATTTTAGTAAATGAAAAAAGTTACAAACGTCACCAAAATCAAACCTCCTCTCTTACTCCCATCACACACAGTAACAATTATGCATACAAATGCAGTCAGTGTTAAACCAAGCATGCTTTCCTGAATGCTCATTCTGTACAGCAATACTGAACAGAAGCACTTTCAAGCACTATCTAAATTCATGTGATGTGTTCTGACAAAGTGAATTTCAAATGACACTTGGTAAGTGTTTTAAGTCAACAGCCTCCTGCCTACTGGCCTTTTGGTATTTCAGCTTTCCTGAAGAATCCAAGTTGCAGTATTGATCTTGAGGGACAAAACTGCACTCCCAACTTGAAGGTTCTGCACAAAGCCTGTCTTGCTATTGAAGTTTCTTGGATTGAAACTCCTTTAGTTAGCTTGCTGTAATATGTAAATTCTTTAATTACACAAATAAATGTTGGAGCTTGTTGTGCATTTTCATTAAAGCAGCTATTCTCCCCACTGCACACTAAGATTACATACAGTACTTTAATCTCAGGAATAGATGGATCAATGCTTTATATACCATTATGTTTCCTGAGGTGGGTGGG